CRTCCTCTCCCTAATATGTTTTATTCATATAAATGCCCAGGCTTAGTGCGGGCAGAGGCAGAAGWCTGAGTGCAGCTTTGAAAAGATCCTAAAAATCTATTGTGACGACGATCCTCCTCCTTTGATAGTCTGCAGCACTGAATCAGACTGAAAGACCATCAAGGAAATCTCCTTTTGACATCTCACCTAAAAATATAAACTCTTCACGAGTAAAACTCAAAGTTTGCTGAACTTGAATTGTACTATAGATTTACTTCATTGTATAACCGTTACAGAATGTCCTGATTTGTTGGTGGKGTTGCATTTTATCAGACCATATTAGCAGCTGGAAATAAAGTTCCAACAACAGAACTTTTGCACATAAAAAAAACAAAATTGTGGTTTATGGTTTGAGTCATCTCTAGGCAGCCATTTTTGCTACTGAGTCTACAACATTTTTTTTGAGATAATCAATCTGTAAGTTTTTATTGATGTGGATCATTTAAAGTGGTTCAGTTTTGAGAAATGCTTCCAAAGCCTTTGAGTTGGATGAATACATCATTTTCAAATCAGTTCTGATCATAGAGCTGACATGATCAGAAAATTTACCTTTAAACCTAAGCAGCTGTTTCACTTTCAGAAAAGTAAAGGTTAATAATTATTTTCATGTAAAGTTCCACGATACAAATAATAATTTACTGTCATTGCAAGATCTAAATGATGGCTCGTACTGTGCATATATAGGTTCTGGATGGCAATAATGTATTTGATCAACTGATTAAACCTTTTTGGACATTGTGATGTGTGTGTGAGGAAAATGATCACAATCAGTTTAGTCATCATGAATTTTCAAAATTAAATACCATCTCTAACATTCTGCAGCTCTGCAGTAAAGGTTGGCTCTGAGTGAATTTGGGGTCAATATGTTTAAATGTTTAGTTAAATATCAATCAGGAGGATTTTTCTCTATGAARTGTCTCTCATACATGAAAGGCAACTCATTTGTCCTTTGAGGTTTGATGTTGCTGTGTGAACTTGATTAAAATGAATATTTTTAAATCTACAACTTGATTGTTTTGGTATTCATACAGTATGTGGCCTCAGGCAGGTGTTTGTCTCTGACCCTCCACGTCCTCTTTCCCTTCAAGCTAAAACGTAATCAATCCTCCCAGAAACTCAGGGGGAATAAAATGTTTGGAAAAGGGAATTTAAGTATAAAAAAAAAGAAGCAGAAGTTTAACTGGAGGTTAACACTTGGGGAGTGGGTGAGGCCGGCTCGTTGGCAGCAGGCAGGTGGGAGGGTGGAGCCGGGCGCTGCGGTGTGGTGTGGTGTGGGTGTGAAGAGGACGTCTCCTTGCCTTACTCACAGCCTGTGTGGACAGCATGTCATTGATGGAGTGGTCGTACTGCTCGGCCAGGATGGCCAGCTTACGGGTCTGCTCGTCCTTCAGACGCTTCAGCACGGCCTTGTGGTCCGATTTGGGCGTGTTCTCCAGCAAGTGGTTCCTCAGGGCCTTGTACTGACGGGTTTGGATCTTGCAGGTGTCCTGGAACTGACGCTTTATCTGAAGCTCTTTGGACTGAAGGAGAGAGAAGAGAGATGGAAGCAGCTGGGCTAAAGTGCTCCTGTGGTCTGAATGAATGAATGAATGAATGAATGAATGAATGTTGATTTGTTTTGTGCAGAAAATTTCTGCAAAAACGTGACTTTTTTCTAGGATATTTATTACTTATTAATACTGTATTTACTAGTTAAATAGCTTCCATTTAGGCCAATAATAGTTTTATAAAGGTGCTTATTTAAACTTTAGCTTGCCTTAAGAAACCAGCAACTTAAAAACTAAATCATTTTGAGTTCTTATTTTATTCGACCAGTCAAGCAATTACAAAATGTATCATCAACAAAGGTTTAATCAAACTACAGAAGTAGCACCAAGCAGAAATAGTTTGCAATCATACTTCTTAGTGCAGTTTTAAATATTTATATTACAAAATGTTTAGCTCAGTTGGGAGCAAGGAAACTTTGATTTTTGCACCTTTTATACTTTTCAGAATATTGAACTTTAAAATACTTAATTTTAAATTTCCATAGAATTACATAGTTCTTGTCCGTTTTTTCATAAACACACTTAAAACTGTTTAAAATAACAGCACTGTTTTTCTTTTACTATGTTACTTTAGCTTTTAGCTACGGTTCTGCTCCCTTTAGCTTTTAGCTATTATTAGTTTCCTGTTAGCTACACCTTTTGCTAAAATGTAGCTAGTTTTGCTGATTTTAAGGCTCTGTCACATTAAACAACTTATGCCAACTTCTGAACATTTTAAAAACATCTACATTAAAGAAGGAATTGAAAAAAATCAACAGGATGCTTTTTCAACATGTACATAATGTAATTCGAAAAGGTTCAAATATATAACTTTTATTAGCAATTTAGACATAAAAATGTTTCATAAGTTGGCATAAGTTGTCTAGTGTGACAGGGTCTTTAGTTTCAGCATTGGTTGTACTAATTGTAGCTACAATTTGTTTACTTTTAGCTGATTTAATCATCCATCTGGCTAATTTTATTATTTGCAGTTTGCTAAAATGAACATCAAACATCTTTGCTAATTTTTACTCATTTTGTCAAATGTGTTTTTGTCATGTTTTACTGCTTTTAGGTATCGTTATGTATTATTTACTTTTTGGTTTAAGCGTGTTTTTTCTTTTAGTTCCTGCATTACTAATTCTATCTACTGTTAAGCTAGAACTTAAAAAAGCCTGTTTTGCTTATTTCAACTTTCAAAACCCAGCTTTAGCATCTTCAGCAAATTTGACCAAAATCATTCCGCAGTCAAAAGTCTGGTTTGTGATAAAATCCTCCACAGACAGAAAATCAATCATAGACTTGAAAGATTAATTTTTTTAAACATAAAATGCAATTTTCTGCAAAATTATGGAATTATTCTAGAGGAAATGTTTTCACTGTGAAGGCTTAAAACAAAATGAATCCAAAAAAATGTTAAAAATAAGCCCAATTTGAACTGAACATAAACTCTGAAATATATGATGTAAATTTAAACATTTTAGACTGATTTTAACCTTTATAGATGTACAAGTTGCCATGAATTAAACTACTTTTTATTTTACWTTTTGTGGACGACAAAAATAAGGGCAAGACAAATGTGTGATGATACAAAACGAAAATGAAAAAAAAAAAATGCTTAAACCTTTGCATAATAAGAATTAACGAAACAGGGTGAACAAATAAGGAGGTGGCAATAATGGAAAATAAAAAAAACAAAAAAAAAAAAACAGACAGGACAATGATTTCAAACCAAAGGAATTTATTTTTTATGTGCAAATAAATGTTCTATGCTTTAGAGCACACAGCCGTACAGAAAACCCATGCAGCTAAAACGAGGACAACAAAATGTCCATCCAAAACAATGCAGTACTAGTTTCATAAATACTGCATATATATAAAAATAAAAAAATAAAATAAAATAAAATAAAATAAAAACGATGATATAACTTTGAGGAAGTGCCAACACTTGGACTGTGTTGCAACAAAACAGAATGCAACATGTAAACATACAGAGAGGAACAGGTAAAAACTGAACACAAATGTAAATCAATGGCAACAAGGTTACATTCGAACAAACAGGGTTTGTTATGAGACTTCTCTTTTTAAGCTTTGCTCCCTGGATGCAGGTCGACAGGAAACAAAACCTGCTACCKTCCTGTTTCATTTTCACTTCACAGMTAAGACTGAGCTTTTAATCTCCAGAATCCTCCACTTTAAACGTGTCCGATCAGATTTTTCAGCAACACCTGGCTGCTTTTATTTCCTCTGATGCTTCTCTTTGTAGGCAGACTTATGTTTTTCACATCAGAGAGACTTCAGTTATATTAAATAAACTTCCAGGAGCGCTTGTTTTTATTTATTTGTCCTGCTGAGTTTAAATTAAAACAATTAAGATCAAGTATAAAACAAATACTGTTTTAGCCATAAAAAAATATCTAAAACAGAAATTAAAAATAAATATTTGGTTTGACTTTTTCACTTTTTTTGTCACTGAATTTTGGTGATCAACGATCTTTGGTTTCAAAATCATTAAAACCTTGAAAACATCTAAGATAGAAAGTAACTGAATTTACACTATTCTGTTTCAAAGGTTTAAGTGAAACTAATGATTAAAAATAAATAAAACTTCCTCATTTGGCATTTTTAATAGCATTTGTGAAATAACTATTGAAAAATGTTTGGTGATTTTTCACTTCCTCATTTGACTTATTCTTTGTTTCTGTATTTCTCAAACATTGTCTCTGGCTTCACATAAATTAAGTTACACTGAAAAATTAAATAGATTTTCTTTTATATTATATAACTCTAAGGCCTATTTTGGTTTTCATGTCCTTGGTTTCACTTCACAAAAGACTACCATTTATGCAAAGTGTTGAAAAGTAGGCACTATTCTTGTTTTATCACAAAGGGAAAATGTTTACACGGTAAATCTTAACAAGACTATTGCGTCAAGTGCAATWAAGTAGTCCAGCGATAAAAAATAAAATAAAATAAAAACTGATTTCACCAACTTTATGAAATGGCTTTGAAGTGTAAGTTCAACCTGAACATAAAACCTTAGCATTTACAGCTGAATTTATGTTTTGGATGATTATTTCAAGTCAAATAAACAACTTCTATTTGCTATTTTCTATTTGGCTCCAAACAGTGTTTCATCATGGTCCAAAGGTTTTTCCACTCAGCTGTTTATTGCACTTTTCTACAGACTGACAGCTAGTGTTCAGGGTTATGTTAGTGAAATCGTTACGTATCCTTTTTGTTTCTTTTTTTCACAGTAATCAGCATACAGGAATGACATATCATCATTGGAGCTGTTTAACACTGTAATAGTTGTTCTAGGCACTGACAAATCAGTGCACCGTATCAAATAAGACCACTCTAAGGTAAAAAATAAAAATAACACAAGATTGCACAAAAAATGGTCTTAAAAATAACCATAAAAATGTCTTAGAAATTAAGAGCAAAATAAAAATATTTAAGAAACTTTAAGGAACTTTTACAAAAAGCACAATATTAAAATGTTAAGATTCACTGGATTTGAGATAACTGTTTGATCAGTCTGTAGACCTGGTAACAGTATGGCTTCGTGCTCGTACGTTCACTTTAAATACAGCTTCACCAGCCAAAAAATCTGTTTCAGCCGGAGTGCGCACACGTACACACGTGCTGCTAAAAGGAGGCTAATTTTTAAGATGTGTGATCACAAACCCGTTCAGAAATGATCTAAAAAGGAGAAACATGTGGGCCCAAACCAAAAACACAAACAATGGTTGACAAATGGAACGCAGAGCGTGATGATGACYGAGCTCACACGAACGCATCACCCACACACCTCCCTCTGCTTCCAGCTATCTCCACGGGCGGATTTTACCCCGGACAAACCTTCCAGATGAAGTTCGCCTCAACCCACACTCCCACCTCGCCTCCTCCCGAAACATCCTCACCCTCTCCTCCCTCCTCTTCCTCTCCATCTCTCTCCTCTTCCTCTCCTTTTGCCTCCTCTCCCTGACCTCCCGGGGGAGCAGTCGGGGCAACCGGCTCGGGAGCTCCTTCTTCAAGAGACCCAGAGTTTGGAGCTTTGCACGCACTCCGACGGGCAGTTTTAGAACAACCAGTCGGACCAGTTTTAGGACTATGGTGTTAGTAAAGTCTGCCAGGACCCCCAGCGGGCGTCTACTGAAGCGCCTCCCCCAGAGGAGGCACTTGGACAGCAGAGAGGTGCCACTGCAGCGGGCCTGACACTCTAAAGGCAAGCTCTTCAGTGGAACTGGAATCCTGGACTGGCGCACCCCCCAGTTACGCCCAGCTTTGGGGAACATTTCATAAAGGTTTCGCTCTGCCACACCCCCCAGGACTGACTGGCACATGGCGAACAGGGGTCGAGGAAGCCGGAAGAGGACGCGCATGCACAAGCGGTTGATTTTACGAGGCGCATGCTGGAAGAAGTTGCGAGCTGGCCTGACCACCAGGACCACAACCAGGTAGAGGGAAAGGAAAAGGGAGGGGGAGCTGAGGAAGGAGGCGGAGATGAGGATAATGGGGATGTAGTAAATCCCCAAACTGAAGGAGAGGCCCAAACTGAAGAGGGCGCTGGTCCAAAGGCTGAACGACAAGAAGGTGGAGAGGGACAGGGAGCAGCAGGAGCGCAGCAGGAGGTAGGAGAAGAAGAGCGCCAAGAACGCCAGCTCAGCAGAGAGGATGAGAGAAGCCACGGAGGGGAGGGGCGGCGAGCGACGGAGGGAGAGGAGGAAGATGGAGAGCAGCATCAAAGTGAGGTTGGAGGGATGGGCAGCAGCAGAAAGAGAGAGGAGGAGGCAGATGGCGTGAGAAAAGAGTGAGGGGAGGGAGGCGAGCGGTGGGGGAGGAGGAGGAGGCGAGACAGGACCGGGCTCCAGCTCTGCTGTGGGTTCAGGGAAGTAAAACTCTGACAGCTCATCGATGTCTCGGTGCCGTCGCTTTTCTGGGCTCGACGATGAGATGAGCTCTGATGGACAACCATCAGCCACACCCCTGCCCTCTTCCTCCTCCTCCTCCTCCTCATCATCGACATCTACAGGAGACATTTTACTGTAATCCTCCTCATATTCCCACTGAACCCCCTCTACTTCCCTCAACTCTTCGCTCTCTCCCAGTTTCCATTGATCAACATCTCTGTCACCAGTTCCCTTCGTTTCATCGTCCTCTTCATCCATCTCAAACTTCCTGTCAGCCTCAGACACCCCCTGATCCCCCACCCCATCTCTATAATCCTCATCTCTGAGTTCTACAACTCCGTCAAGCTCATCTCCATCATCATACAGCTCTCTTCCTACCTCACCGCCCCCCTCATCTTCTACGGGGCCTGTCTCACGGTCCCAGCTGCTGCTCAGACCCTCAGTCGACGGGCTCTCCTCAGGAGACCCCCCGCTCTCACTCACTTTCAGGCTCTTGGGCTGCTGGCGGACCTCCACGGCGTGTTTTTGACGCAGCTCCTGCTCGCGCCTCTTGTTGTACTCCATCTGGTTGGTGAGCTCCGTCTGGTGCTGCGTGCGGATCAGGTCGGCCCGCGTGCGCTGCACCAAACTCAGCTGCCGGAACTCCAGCTCCTGGGTGGACTCGTGGTGGCGCAGCAGCATGGCACACTCCAGGTCCTTCAGAGTCTGCTTCTTGTTCAAATCCTGCACAGAACGAGACGACAGTGAAGAGGAGGGACAGTTTGACAACCTTTAACAAAACACATTTGTTTACAGACACACAGGCGTAAGGACTAAAACTGAATCTGGTCCCTAATGAGGAAGAAAAGAACCTCTCTGAGCAGATCCTGCTCCAGGTTGTGGCGGGCCAGCAGCATCTTCCTCTTATATTGGCGACTCTGGAGCTCATAATACTGCCTCTGCCTCCTCAGCAGACCGGCCTCTTCCTCTGCCTGCAGCTGCTGCATGCACTCCTTCTGGTGCACCAACCATTCCTGTTTCTCCCGCTTTGGTGTCGACTGGTTCTCATTCAGTTCCTTCAGTGGTGGGGGAAAAAAAAAAAAAAAAAAAAAAAAAAAAAAGTAAAATGAAGATGTTTCAAACTTTAATTTCTGAAAAAGGATAACTTCCCAAAATGTTAACGGACCTCTTTAAGCTGCTCCTTGCGCTGTCGATACTGTCGCTTCTGGGAATCAAGCAGACCGGTCAGTTCCTTCTTCTGCTGGCCCAGGATGTGCTGCTGGAACTTCTTCTCCTCAGTCAGGACAGCCTTTGTCTGAATCAAAACAAGCAACAATGCTTAGAAATTTACCATGTAAAGCCTGTAAACAAACAAGGTACTGAAGTTGAATATTTAAACATGACTCCACTAAGCACTGCTGCCCCTCTCATTTCTGTTGTTTCTCGTCTTCATGTTAGGTTTCTCATCAGTTTTCTTTTCACGGGTCACCTTCAGCTCACCTCCTTCTCCAGGACCGCCTGGTGCTTCTTGGACAGTTTTTCTACTTCCATAGAGAAGTTGTTCCTCTGATTCTCCAGCTCTTTGTCCAGTCTCAGCTGGTGTTCATCCATCTCTGACTTCAGCTTGTTCTCCAGGCCCATCAGCTGCTTCTGGTGCTGCCGCCGCATCCGCTTGTACCTGTCCAGAGACGTCATGAAGGCTGTGTTTAAACAACTGAGCTTTAAAAACRGTTCTGCTTTAAAAGTCCTCGTTGACAGATGTGACCCTCACCCAGACATTTGCTCTCTGAGAGCCGATCCCTGTTCGTGTTCCTGGATCTGACGAGTGACCAGTGAAGCTGTCCTGATGGTGGCGAAGTGATCTCTGCGCCGACGTCTGCCGCCTCCTCCTCCCCCGCCACCGCCACCMGACGAAGCCTCTCGTTGTGATTCGGCCTCTGGCTGATATGGATCATCATAGATATTGTCATGGCTCTACATAATGGAGGAGAAATAGAGCAGAAAAACAGGTTTTTAGCCTTTTTGCAAAACAAAGCAAACATTTATTTAGAATAAWTCCCTTTGAGCAGTTGGAGCAAACTGACCAAACAATAAAAACTGCTGCTGGCAGCTGGTTTAATGTTTGCCGTATCAAGTGATCAGAGAAAGTCCCCCAGTCCAAAATTGTTTTAAGCCAGGAATTAACTGCATCTTGAAAAATCTAARTAAGTAATTAACGACACCTGTTACTCATCACAGGGTTGTTTTATTGTAAAAACAAATTTACTGATTCATTAAAAACAAATTCAATATTTTGAATGTTTGTGAAGCCATATTTTYGTACTTGCTTGAGAGAAAGATGTACCTTAATCCAGGGTATAGGATTATGGAATTGTCTGGAAGATGATCTTAAAAATGCCAGAACTATGTATAGATATTTAAGAAACAGATAAAAGCAAGTTTTCTGAAGGTATATGGAAAAGTAAAATGAGAAGCTATATGAAATGTGGTTTGAGTTGATGTTTTTATTTTTATTTGTATTGTTTTATAAATTATGTTTTGTTTGAATAAGTTCTGAGGATAAAAGGGGCAGACATTATAAGACTTATTCTTCTTTTGCTAGCTTTCATTTTATTTTGATTTGTGTATTTTGTTTGTTTTTATTGTATATAGTTATTTTTAATGAAATGAATACATTTTTAACTTAATTTATCCATACCTTGTAAAACAGAAAATGCTAAATTATGATTAAAATATGTAATTTACAGTGAAATTATGTTTATTTATTTAGAGATATATAAATTTATTGCCCCATGACTCTTATCTAAACACAAAATTTGAATTTTCCTATATTTTTAAAATTCTTTAAGAACTACTGTGTTGGCAGCAACACAGACTGCTCTAATCCACGCCTGCAGGTTTTACTTGGTGCTGCTTTTACTTCACTTGTCCTGTAGGGGGAGCAAGTTTGCACATGTGAAACTGAAACAGAATCCACTGCAGAAAACGTCCAGTCAAAATAAACCAAAACAGCTTAACATCAGCATTTAAGACTCTACTTAAAGTTACAAATGACTAGACTATGATACAAAACCACAGAGACACAATGTCAAAGAAATGTTCAAAGATTCTTAGTTTTAATTTAGAAACAAATTTATCTGATCTAACATTACTTAATGTGACGCTTCCTCTGAAAGAAAAGTCAGCTTTTCTCAGATTCCTATATATAAAAAGCTCCTTTTAGAACTAGAGTTTAACACTTGAACTGACCAGGGGTTTGTGCAGGACGGAGCTGTTGGAGGTGACTGTGTGCTCCCCCTCCTGCATCATGGCCATCTCCCCGCTGTCGTCTGAGCCGTCTGCCAGGCTGTTGACCGAGCTGCTCTGGGAGCTGGCGCTGATCGACATGGACGGCAGAGAGTGGGAGCTCTCCATGCTGTTGACTGTGCCGGTGTGTAACATATACTGCTCCACATCCTGAAACAAGGAAGCAAGAGGGGCATACTAGAATTTAAAAACACACATTCAGGATGATCTTTACACCTTATGAGCTGATGCGACTCCAATGGAAAGTTATGGCTTAAACATGCTTAGAAAAGAGAAGTTTGTCTTCCAGTTTCTTGTTTATTTATAAGAGGCAGCTGTTACTTATTTAGTCTGATAAAATCATAATTTCCAGGCAATACAAACTTGTCAATTACCAAATTAGTCAAATCCCAGCAGATCCACTCAACTCAAAGAAACAAACAACCTAAGGAAGTCTGCGATCTAAAACTAACGCTGCAATCTCCGTGCATTCCTCTGTTTTCCTTCAGCTCTCACGGCCACCTGATCTTCCTCAGCCTCATTCCTACCTCTTCATCATCGCCTCCTTCTGGTGCCGGACCATTGTGTGCCTCATGAAAGAGGATTTTCTTCATCTTGCGGTACTGAAGGTTGTCTAGCTCACGGACAGCATCTTTAGTGCGTGCGATCAGGTCCATCACGACGGTCATGGGACGCTCTCTGCATAGGAAATGGTGCTGATCGAAGCAATTGAAACAGATTTATATTAAAAATTACTGTAAAATAAATGACTCCATTTTTTTCTTTTATTATAAATATATATATATATTTTTTTTTAACTATTTTAAAACTCCACTTGTATCACCAGCATTAATGCTGCAAAAGCCAACAGTTTTGTTTTTGTCTCATTGTACCTTCAGCAGCACATCAGAGGTAGGTCTGTCCTGGGCAATCTTTTGCAAACAGGAGTCCACAAAATTACGGAAATAATCTGACCTAAAAAATGAATAAAATAATCATTATAAATCCAGATATCTGTGCAAAAATAAAAGAAAAATGTAAGTTTATCAAGTTGCAACACAAGGACGCTAATAAATAAACTTTAAATTATTCCTACAGTGACAACATAAGTCAAAAAAGCCGTGCCCTAAAAAAAGTGTTCATAATAAACAATAAAAAGTTTATTTGTTTTAGATCATATTTTTATTATTAGTTTAATCTAAGCTATTTTAATTTTTATGTTACAACCACACATATCTGCAGKGTTCATCAAAATCCTGAATATTAGGTGTCGTTAAATCGCCCTCATTAGGACCAAAATTAAACAACATATAGCTTTATACCTATAACTTTTAAATAAGTATGCCTAAGACAAAAAATATTATACATTTCCGGACATGAAAAAACATGCATGTTAGGGTGCCTTCAGGCCCAGGCCTCCCTTGGAAAAGAGATCTGTGATCTCAAAGGGATTTGCCTGGTGAAATAAAGGTCACAAAAAAGTGAACTAATCCGAAAAGCAAACAAACAACAACAAAAACAGGAAGAAATCTAGATTTTATTTTATGATTGTCATCTCTCACCAGTGATTGGACTGCAACACAGGGCTCTCATTCTGGGCGATGTGGTATAAGGCACTCATAGCATTCATGTTGAACAGAGGAGGCTTCCTTTCCGCTACMGAGTGAAAAAGAACAGAGGATGACAGGAACAGGAAATGACAGATTAAAAAAAAACAGAAGAGGGAATGGCTGGAGGTTTTCAGCTTTATGAAGGATAACGACACACTTTCAGGACCACTTTAGGACCGTCTCTTACCCAGCTCTATGCTGGTAATGCCAAGTGACCACACATCCACCTTCCCGTCATACTGCCCCTCGTCCATGGCGAGGATCACCTCAGGGGCCATCCTGCACACAGGAAACAGCAGCAATTCAACAACACAGAGTGGCTCCACGAGACTGGTTCTTTTCCAACATCTGAATCACATCAGCACGATGTATTTACAGTAACATAAATTCTACCTGCAGAATGAAAGAATCCGACTGAAAAGATCAGCCATTGTCTTAAACAGTAGGTCATCAGCAGGTTTTAAATGTATAGTTTAAATATATATACAGTGGTTTGCAAAAGTATTCATACCCCTTGAACTTTTCCATATTTTGTCACATTACAACCACAAACATAAATATATTTCACTGGAATTTAATGTGAAAGACCAACACAAAGTGGTATACAATTGTGAAGTGGAAGCAAAATTTTACATGAATCAAAACATTTTTTACAAATAAAAAATTGAAAAGTGCGACGTGCAAAAGTATTCAGCCCCCTTTTCCCTGAGTGCAACCAATTGCATTCAGAAGTTGCCTGATGACTGCTAATGACTCAAAAGGGTCCACCTGTGTGTAATCTAATCTCAGTACAAATACAGCTGCTCCGTGACGGCCTCAGATGTTGGTTAAGAGAATATTGGGGAGCAAACAGCATCATGAAGTCCAAAGAACACACCAGACAGGTTAGGAATATGGTTTTGGAGAAGTTTAAAGCAGGCTTAGGTTATAAAAAGATTTCCCAAGCTTTGAACATCTCACGGAGCACTGTTCAATCCATCATCCGGAAATGGAAAGAGAATGGCACCACAGTAAACCTGCCAAGACAAGGCCGTCCACCTAAACTTACAGGCCGAACAAGGAGATCACTGATCAGAGAGGCAGCCAAGAGGCCCATGGTGACTCTGGATGAAATGCAGAGAGCCACAGCTCAGGTGGGGGAAACTGTCCACAGGACAACAATTAGTCGTGCACTACACAATTGTGGTCTTTATGGAAGAGTGGCAAGGAGAAAGCCATTGTTAAAAGAAAACCATAAGAAGTCCCGTTTGCAGTTTGCCAGAAGCCATGTTGAGGACACAGCAAACATGTGGAAGAAGGTGCTTTGGTCAGACGAGACCAAAATTGAACTTTTTGGCCACAATGCAAAACGCTATGTGTGGCGGAGAAAGAACACTGCACATCACTCTGAAAACACCATCCCCACTGTCAAATATGGTGGTGGCAGCATCATGCTCTCGGGGTGCTTCTCTTCAGCAGGGACCGGGAAGTTGGTCAAAGTTGATGGGAAGATGGATGGAGCCAAATACAGGGCAATCTTGGAAGAAAACCTGTTGGAGTCAGCAAAAGATTTGAGACTGGGGCGGAGGTTCACCTTCCAGCAGGACAACGACCCTAAACATAAAGCCAAAGCTACAATGGAGTGGTTTAAAAAAAAGAATATTCATGTGTTAGAATGGCCCAGTCAAAGTCCAGACCTAAACCCAATTGAGAATTTGTGGCAAGATCTCAAAACTGCTGTTCACAAACGCTCTCCATCCAATCTGACTGAGCTTGAGCTGTTTTGCAAGGAGGAATGRGCAAGAATTGCAGTCACTAGATGTGCAAAGCTGGTGGAGACATACCCTAAAAGACTTGCAGCTGTAATTGCAGCAAAAGGTGGCTCCACAAAGTATTGACTCAGGGGGGCTGAATAATTTTGCACATCGCACTTTTCAGTTTTTTATTTGTAAAAAATGTTTTGATTCATGTAAAATTTTGCTTCCACTTCACAATTGTATACCACTTTGTGTTGGTCTTTCACATTAAATTCCAGTGAAATATATTTATTTTTGTGGTTGTAATGTGACAAAATATGGAAAAGTTCAAGGGGTATGAATACTTTTGCAAACCACTGTGTGTATATATATATATATATATATACACACACATTTCAGTAAGCTTAATTAAACTACAATAGCTGCACTGTGCAAGCTGAAGCTTCACTGGGTGAACTTTAAATGCATTTTAACCTTACTTTAATGTTGCCACTCCTGTTTCAACATGTAACAACAATAAAATGGACACACCCATGGAACGAGACAGATTGAGGGAAGTAAGTGTACTTTATGTTGTTGTGTCTGAAGTGTAAACAAGGAAAATAAAGCTTTAAGAGACGTTAGAAGATAATGAGTTAAAGTAAAAAGGGTTTGCACCTTTAAAGACCAGCCATAAAACAAATACATATTTATCCAAAAAAGGAGAAAGGTCCATTTTAACTTCACACAAGACTAAAACTTAAAAGGCTGCTCTGTCCGCATGTTTAAAGTATATCAGTGAGACGGGTTAATCTGATTGGCTGTTTAGCTTAGGTGACGTGGCTGAGCTCTAACCAACACTTTGAGATAATAACATTATTTAACGCCTTTGAAGCTTGTCATCTTTTACTGTACAACTTTATATTTTCACATGTTTAGTTTGACATTTAACAAAGGGTAAATAAAAAAATCAACACAATGTTGGCTGATTCATTCTGAAACAACCCTTAAAACGTGAACTAAAAGTGATTTTCTGTGCAGGAGAGTTGAGTGTTTTCCCACAGTCTGAGCTTGGATATTGTGGATGATGTTTAACAAACTTTGCTTAAGCTTTTTTTCCCCCCAGAAGCAGCTGACTTGAAGAGAAAGAGCAAAGGAAAACTTTCTTCACTACTGATTTTCTTTGGCTTTGGTRTGTCAGGAAACAAAACTAAACTGGTAATTTGGCCTTCTACACCCAGTAATAAGAGTAGAAAAACACCAAAAAAGTATTCAGAAGCCTTTACACATATAAAAGTCAGTTGTTTTTCTGTGCAGGACAGCTCAATATTAGCATGCTTTCGTCAGAGCTGTCAAGTTTTTACTGCAATCAAAACACTTTCTACCTGCTGCTTTGATGTAAAACATACGTATTCTCTGTGCTTTTATTGAAGTAGAATGCAAAGAATACACATAAAGCATTTTTGTTAATGTAATTAGTGCTAACTGTAATTGTACATCAATTATGTCTCAACAAAATAAAATATTTCACAATAACTGAAAGCACCCCAGAATTCAGGATATATCTGCATTTAATGAACCTACAGAAAGTTATTATGGGTTCAAAGTATCTCATGATGTGTGGACACAGCTGATGAACTTTATATTAGGAACATGTTGGCATCTACACAAAGTATTTTGTTCTTGCAAGTGTCTGTTTGTTTATCATAATTTGGGTGTTTTAGTTCGACCTCATCACACACTGTAACAACTTTTAAAAAAAACAACGTTTTACCAGTAAGGTGTTCCCACAAAAGAGTTGGCCGGAGCAACTATAGAGGCAGAGCCGAAGTCTCCCAGTTTGACCTGACCTGGCTCTGTTAGCAAGATGTTTCCTGCTTTCACGTCCCTGCAAGACAAAATGGATCCAAGAGGAGAAAACAGCCCAAAACTTGCGGATAAATACAAAACAGAGAGACATAAGAACTGAAATAAATTATTGGGAATCTGGGGAGTAGCAAGATGTACTAAAATGTGTTGCTGCACAGTGTGAGAGCACGTTGCATAAGCTTCGTCAGGCAGCACAGTTCCTGTCTGCTCACCCCCCCCCGTATTTGCTTTGTCTCTTGTCGAAAGAGTGGGCGATGGGAGCAGAATAGATGCAGAGAGGGAAAACTGAAACGAGGTTTACCTGTGAATCATGTTGTGAGAATGAAGATACACCAGTCCCTGCAATGCACCATGGGTTATCGCAGCTATTTCCACTTCCTGGAGGGGCTTCTTGTGGACTGGGAGAAACGTTGGGCGTGAATTATGTGAAGAACTAAAATCAACAAAACAAGCAGGGCTTTGGCAATACAATAGATATTACAGTTTTACCTTCTAAGAGGTCTGAGGCTGAACCTAAGCAGTACTCCATCACCAGCTAGGAAGGAGACAAAAGGAAAAACAGTGAACAACTTTTAAATAAAGACCTAGAATCCTAGTACCATGCCAGAGTTTTAAACTAAAATCTTTTGGTCCAACTTGGTAAACGGGAATATGATCTCATGTGATTTTGTGAGATCTCGCAAGATGGGTTAGCCCTTAGAGTATTTGTTGAGGATAACTCTCAGCTACCACCAAACCAAATGTAAGGAGAGAAGCTACTTTGAGTCATTTCTGTGTTGGCTACTGTCGATTAGCTGTGACAGCCATCTCAAGTTAGACYGACTCCAACAGCTACGCCTGCATCCATATATTACTGTTTGAGAGTTTCATTAAAACATGTCCAGTGGCTTTAGAGATTTTTTGCTAACATACAGACACAGCTGACTCCAGCAGTCATGGGGCCAGGGATCAGTTTTTGCTCAGAGTAKGTTTGAAACAACTCTCAGCTACTACCACATCAAATTTTAGCTAATTATTTGTACAATTGGCTAAATTATTTTATATTCTGTGTCTGCTGGGGTCCCCTAACTGTGACAGCCATCTTGAATGGGGTTCATGATGAAAAACATTCAATTGCAAATGTATATCCAGTGTTTCCTTTAGAGTAATGGCCTTGGGAGGGTGGGGGGCTTTGGAACAAAGAATGATCGACAGCAGAAATATTACTCATATTTGTATATATATAAAAAGTGCAGCTTTTTCTTTTATGTTACAGAACATGAAAAAGTCTGCAATTTCATTGAAATTAGTTAAATTTTATATATCACTCACTTAAATACAAAAATTAACTAATATGTCTAGTCATAAACCAATAGATAGCTGGAATGTAAGTGTGGTGAAGCAGATTAAATGTAAAAACAGCCTACCATACAGGGAGTTTCTGTGTGCTACTGAAAATGATTTGATGTATTCCTAAAGAGTAGCTAAATTAGTAAGATATACTTATGAGTAAAAAACTGTCCACATAATCTTTTTATTACAGCAGTTAACAAAAAACAAAACAAGTATTTCTGACTCTGGTGAGGAAAAAATAATAATCGGGTGACATACAGCAGATTGGAGCGAGAAGTTATGAGGATTTATGCCCCGCGGCCGCAACACAATATTTCAGTTAAATACAAGATGATACTGAAACTTATTCTGGTAGTACATTAGAAAAAAAGATCTCTGGAACTGCAACTCTTATTTTGGCTGAAATGAACCAGGGGTTAAACTTGTCTAATTTCACATCCTGTTGTTTCAGGAAGTTGTGGACCGGAGTTGGCCGACACAGAATAGTCAGACTCTGTGGCAACAACATACACACGTCCCACTTCACAAACTAAATATGGACACTAGAGCTACTCATAAAACCAAGTAAAAAGGTATGTTTTAATTGATCTCCCAAGAACTAATCATATTTACAGCATGTCTAAATAACCTTCCTGATGTTTCCTAAAATGTTTCAATGAAACATCAATTTATACGTAACGCACAGTCCAAAATTTCATGACTTTATAGGTTCCTTTCTATTATTAGCTGCAGATCCACGGTGTTTTCCTAAAGATCCTAAGTAGGGGGAATAAGAGGAACTATGCTGAATGATTTATATAGTTTTGGGTGCAAAGCCTGTATTTGGACAATAAAAGGGGTCAATGGTGAAAGGAACAATAAAGTCTCAGCTGCAGGAAGCACAGAACATCAAAAGAAGAACTAATGTGGGACTACAGGAGCAAAATGTCCAGAAATGCTTTCAGAATTGTGTCCTACATTCTCTACTCTACCCACCGTTGGTGATGTAAAAAGGTCATTTTTTTTCTTTCCATGCCTCTGAGCAGTACCTATATGTGCCACTGAGACTCAATTAACGGAATTAACATACAGTAAAGCACAGAAAACAGCAGCAACCATGAATTGAGCACAAAGAGTGCAGCTTGTGTTCTCCTCAGTCACACGAGGCCTGAGACTCACCCAGGCTGTGTGCTCTCTCAGGTAGCAGCCCCGATACTCCACGGTGTTGGGGTGGCGCAGCTTCTGGAGGAACTTCACTTCCTTGATGATATCCTGCCATTTCTGGGGTGAGAACAGCGTCACGGTCACTGATTAGCAAAATCTGCTCCACAGATTAAATGGTTTGAACATTTGCGGGGGAATAAAAATGAGTTTTCAGCTCCTACCTCATTGGACTGTTTGCCACTATAGGACATCTTCTTGATTGCCACCACCTCATTTGTGCGGATGTCATGGGCCTAGTGTGGAAAATAAACAACTTAGGTTGTCTGCAGGTGGTTGACCTGCCTTTGGTATATTTTTATCACGTATCAAGATATGCTGATTCATCAGCCATTTTTAAACTTCGACACAGCAAAGCAATAACTATTACATAAAAAGAATTTCAGCCGAGCATCCTCCCCTCCTCTTTTCTGCACTCTGTGGTCCATTCTCTTTATCCATGACTAGCTCCTTTTCACCCTTCATTAAACAGGGCTTTTCATCCACCACTGCCAAGTTGTTCTTTGTCCCTGACTCACGCTGTTTTTACCTTTTCCTTCTCCCTCGCCAGCTTTCATAACCTCTGACAGGTTTATGTTTTGTGCTCATACAGAACCACCATTATGTGACAACTCACTGATCCTCAGTTTTCAGCGCTACCATCAAAATGAGGCTGCTCTTCAGGACATGTTTAACTCTTCTTATTTTTACCTACAGTGACTCTAACAAGAGTCGAGGCACAGAAACACTGAGTGACAACAGTTTAAATGTTATTCTATTAGGGATGTAGAAATACGATATCCGCACTGATTTATCGYATAAATGATTAACGATTCAATCACATCAAGGCAAAATGAAAACATCTATCCAGATGGTCACCATATGCCCSATGTGGATCGATATCATATGCCCATCTAAAACAATCACTGTGTTAGATGGGCATGACGTCGCATCATATTGTAGACTTTCAAACTGAATTCGACAGACTTTGATATTGAGACACATTGTATCATTATCTAAACAAATCAATCTAATATTGTATTGTAATAAAATTGGTTGAGACCCCTACTAACAAACTAACTACCTGCAACATGTTAAAAGCTCCCAACAGATGCAAATATTTTCATATCATAAACTGTGTTTAGACATTTTATTGGTTTCTAAAAACAATTTCCATTACAGATTCTGATAACTGTAATAAGTTTACTACATACTGGCAAGTATTCAAATGTTTAATGCTTGAACTCAGTTTGGAAAAAAAAAAAAGAAATGGTATCAGTGTACCCCCAGTAAAGGTAGTGACTTGAATTTATCTTTGTATGTTCTCTTACACCRAGTGCGAAGCGGCCGGGATGAGGCTCAGTGCCTCCAAATCCGAGGCCATGGTCTTGAGCCGGAAAAGGGTAGAGTGCTTTCTCCGGGTCAGGGGGGTCGCCCTGTCTCAAGTGGAGGAGTTTAAGTATCTGGGGATCTTGTTCACGAATGGGGGAAGAAGGGAGCGGGAGATCGACAGGCGGATTGGCGCAGCGTCTGCTGTAAAGCGGGAGCTGTACCGGTCCATCGTGGTGAAGAGAGAGCYGAGTCARAAAGCGAAGCTCTCGATTTACCGGTCGATCTACGTTCCTACCCTCATCTTTGGTCATGAGCTTTGGGTCATGACCGAAAGAACGAGGTCCMGGATWMAAGCGGCTGAAATGAGTTTCCTCCGCAGGGTGGCTGGGCTCTCCCTTAGAGATAGGGTGAGAAGCTCGGTCATCCAGGAGGGACTCAGAGTAGAGCCGCTGCTCCTCCACGTCGAGAGGAGCCAGTTGAGGTGGCTCGGGCATCTGGTAAGGATGCCTCCTGGACGCCTCCCTGGTGAGGTATTCCGGGCACGTCCCACCGGGAGGAGGCCCCGAGGAAGACCCAGGACACGCAGGAGGGACTATGTCTCTCGGCTGGCCTGGGAACGCCTTGGAGTTCCCCCGGAGGAGCTGGAAGAAGTGGCTGGGGAGAGGGAGGTCTGGGCCTCCCTTCTGAAGCTGCTGCCCCCGCGACCCGACCCCGGATAGGTGGAAGAAAATGGATGTATGTATGTATGTATGTACAGTATGTATGTATGTATGTTCTCTTACAAATGTCTGCTCTGGTCTTGAAAACCTTTGTTTTGTGTATTCATACAAACATTATTGCTGGGGTTTAAAAAAAAAGAAAGAAAAATAGATTAACCGTTAGAGTTTAGACCTCACTAAGCGAACATCCCAACAAGCTCAATAGGCTAATAATGCAAACAGGTTTATGTGCATTATCCGAAATGTGGTCTATCTCGCACCAGTCTCTCATCTCCATCACTGAAATGATCACAAAATACAAAAAAAAAAGTATATATATGAGCTCACAAAGTAGACTGCTCCAAAGCTCCCATGACCAATCTCCCTCAGGTCTGTGAAGAGCTTCTCAGGATCCTCCCTGCAGAACAGCTCAGCCACCTCCGGGTCCTTCAGGCTCCCGGCCCGCACACTCGACGGCATGGCCAGCGCCTGGAAACAACAGAGGAGACATGCTGAGTGAGCGTCTGGTATTTGGAATGATAACAAACATTTCTGTAGGAAACATGAGCTACAAGGAAACATGGTCCAGTCTGCCACTTACAGTCAGCACATTTGGATCTCCTGAGTAATGACATAATCATCTAATTCTTTTACACATCCGATAGAGAAATAACCGTAGCTTAGAAAAACAAACCCCAAACAGCCTGCCATACAGTTAAACTACTCCTGTACACCAGTGAGTTTCTGAAAATTACAGAAAGTGTTTGAAATGTTAAAAATTGGATTCTGGTTAGGTTTTTGGTGGTATGACGGTAGTTTGGTATATTGTACTGAAATATGGCGTCTGTGTATAAAAATTGTGACTAATGCGATGTGCCAAATCTCCTGAAAATTTCCACAAGGCTTCTAAGAAACTGGGAAATAAACATTCAAGGCTCTTGCAGACGACACCCCAAAACATTGCAGACACGTGTTCTGACCATCTCAGCTCATTCAGACCACAAACAGAGGAGCGGAGAGCAGAGACACTCATGTCTGTCYCGCCTCTAAAGGTYTCTGCATGGTCCATCTGAACTTCCAAAACTGGACCTCATTGTCGCATTTGCGTGATGAAAATTGCGTCATTCAGCTCGCAGTCTTCCACCGCTTCTTGTCAAAACTTACAGTGGAGAACTTTAGGTTTGGTTTATACCTCAATACGACGTGAGACAGCAGTTCGGTGATTCCGTTATTTTGGACATCTTTTTCTGAGCGAGTATATATGGGCTAAAGACGCGTCAGTGCATATATTATCATAACTTCTCCCCCTGCCCTCCCGTTGTAGCCCAGCTCATAGATAAGCATAATATTGTTGATAATGATATTAATAATAAAAATAAAACAAACAGCTTTGCTGTAGGAATAGTATCGTATTGGCCATTATCAAAAATTCCAGTATCGTGAAGTGAAAATGTGGATCGGTGCATCCCTATCTGTGACTCCTCTCCTGCTGCTGAGTGACAGGCAGCGTCAGAGCAGCGGAGTGTTTTCCAAAGCTTCTCTCTGGCTCTATTTAAATGCTCACGTTTCTCCAATAATTATTATTTACCCAACACTCCACAGATCATAACTCCCCCAGTAATACTGTATACCGCTGCATTTTCTAAAGCTTATATCGTGGTATGAAAACGATCAATACTGCTCAACCCTATGCAGCTTCACAAAGTTCTCATTTTACTTTTCAAGCACAAATCACTTCAGCCTATTTGCGAAAAGCATATCAGTTCTGTAGCAGCATTTAATGTAAAATCATGCAAAAATCCCATACTGAGTGGAAAAGATCCCAACAAGTTCGAACAAAACCCACAAACAGTCAGTTGGTAATCACAATYGTTTCACCTGTTACCATTTTAATCTCTAATGAGTGACTAAGGCATTCTAAACTTAAAAAAAAAAACATGTTGCATCATGTTTTTCCACAAGCGGTCCTTTTAGTAAGCGTTTCTTTGGTTATCTAAGCCTGASTCACAGGAAACAGAATTTCTAAAATCCACACAGATGCTTTGCATTTTCAGTGTGTGCTGCTGAACAAAACACTCCCCTCGAGGAACTGTTGAAGTGGTCATTCACTGGTATTTTAAGAGCCCGCACACTCAACACCACCTCCATCCACCATTAAACAGTGTGAACCTCACTGTGCACATCCAGACTGGTGTTTTTCAAAGCATAAAAATCTTAAGATAATTAACTACTTCTGTTTTCTACTGAAGTGACTTGGAAAAAAAAAAAAGATAATTAACTACGTAGATATTAACTACTTACTCTGATTAGCAATTTTGCTAAGACTTTTTTTAAACTGAGTAATCATTCTGCATACTTCAGGATTAATATTGGTTTTGTAGGACAGATAATTCAGGTTTATCTAATTAGGGACACTGCARGAAACAAGTCAGATCTTAAACAATGGTGCTTCTAGCCAATGGGTAATATGCAGACCAAGTTCATTGTTGGACTTTTAAAGAAAATTAAAYGTCTGAAACGAAACAATAAACAAATAAAGCCCAATAAGAACCTGAAATCACAAAATTTAATAGCTCTCCAAAGAGTTAATTTATAATTTCCTGAGCTTCTTACCTACAGTAAAATATTTCAACTGTGCTACTGTCAGAAACTTAAAATTAGACTCAGTCTGGCAGCTGYTAAGATGTATTTTTTTCCCCCAGTATTGCTACGTGGTCTGGTGATGTGACACCACATACTGTCTGGCCCTGTGTGGTGTCTGTCTGCTTCGAGAACACATCAATAAATATCAGATAAACGCTTTTTAAAAAGGCCAACATACTTTGTGTAAATTTAAATATACAAATTTATACAATCCGTTCTCCAAATGGAAGGTAGGCAGTTCTCATAAATACAAATGATCGCTTTTGTAYGCAAATGCATAGGATCTACATAAAACCATAAACTTTCAACGCCGTTTTACTTTTACAAGTAATGTCGATAAGATGTTTGTGTAAACCTACTGCTGACAGAGACTGAGATAAATGTGCACCATAAAATTCAGTATCCCTATTTAGAATTTATAAATTTATCATTTCATTTGATTTCAGACATGAGGATGTTTGACAAACAGGTGGGTAACAACAGCTCATGCCTTTCCTAAGGTTGGTTCTTTAGCAAATGAGCAACCAAAACACTTAAAACATCTGTTGTTCTTTTGTGGCCATTTTGTTAATGTCAGACTCAAAGAGGAAGCGTTTGGTTCCGTTTRTGAACAAGAAGCTCTTTAAATACTGCAACCAAAGGCAAACGCTTGATCTATTTTTTAAGAGGCTGGTGGCAGACAATACAAGAAGAAAGAAGTAATGTCTCAGTGATGTGGTTTCTTTTCATTTAATTTCTCCAGCTTACAATAAATGTATAACAAAAGGCCACACCAGACATGAGAATAACAAATGCATGTTTGGTTTGGTGGGTCAGACCGGTAAGAAAATAACCAGATATGTGACTGCTATGAAGAACATGTCTGGATATTTTTATCTGTTTTTTTTTTTACTTGACTTTAGCTCCTGCTTCTTTAATAAATGTGACATTTAATGATTTTTTTTTWAAATCAGGAGGACTGTTTTAAATGCAAAGATGTTGTCTTAGATTTCTTATTGCTTATGCTGCTGGTCATAAAACAAGTCAGACAACTTGAAAACCAGTCAGATTGCTCATACATCAAGCCCTAAAAAGGCACTGGATAAAACATGAGGATTCTCATATTTACTGAAATAAATAATTCCCTATTTTGTATTGAAAATGAATTTTAAAAAGTTTTTTTAGTAACCAGTGCTGTCAACATAAATAAATGGTCATTCATTGGCTGCAGTCTACATTTTATTATCATTGAAATGTATTGTTGTATAGATGGGTTATAAACTAGAATCAGGATGAGGAAATGTGTGCAGTGACATGTTCTGTGTTAACTGAGTGCGGAAATAGCGTTTTAATTTTGCATTCATTTTTTAATGATTTTGATTTATATGCAGTTTTGTCTTTTCTTGCTTTGGAACTACAGAAGGAAATTTATTACAGTTGCTAAATCCATCTTTTCTCTTGTCAGGTTAATGCAATTTTACATTATTTATGTAAAATTAACAAAATCATCACGTCTTACCGTGGCTTTTGGGATCCACTGTAGCTAGCTGTGGAGCTAGCTAACTGTCCTGACTGGAAAATATTGGTCTCACTCCCCCGTCCTTGTTTCTGATGTCTACTCAACACGAACGAACCACATTCCGTCTGCAAACGTTTTTCTCTAAACCCCTCGCCATCCCGATGCTCGCAGTCAGTCGGACAGCAGCCAGCAGGTCTTTGCGACTTGACATGAGGAAAGTGTCAGTCAGACTGACGCCTTCCAGCTAACCGAGAAGCAGAGCCGTGCCCCCCCGGAGAAAATCGGGAAACGATCAGRAGCTCTGGCTGCTGTTAGCGACAATGCTAACTACAATAACGAAACGCCAGGAGCTGCCAGGGACGTTTTCAGCTGCGAGCCGAATCATTAAAAGCCACCGCTCCGCTCCCTTCTTCGCTTTGCAATGACATTTCGTTAGGGTTGCTGGTGGATTTGATCTCTACTTCGTGTTATTGCCCCCATTTTGCTCGACTCTCATCCGTTTTTGTTCAGGACTTGATGATGGCGGAGAAGGGGCGGGAGCCGAGAGGAAACCGGAAGTGTTCTTCTTCGATGTTTGATTAACGGATTCGAGTTCATCAACACTGCCCCCATGTGGTCATACACAGTCTAAAATGGGATTTAGACCAGGGGTTCTCAAGCCTTTTGGTCTGGGGTCCCCTTACAAGGGCAAAAAAAATTCTAGGGACTCCCTCATAAACCCCATGCTGTTTTAAAAGATAATTTATTGTCATTTCAACCCGTAAATGCCATGGGAATATATATTTTTATTGAGTTTATTATGTTTGTTTTATTAGTTCATTGTTCTCCATGCATTTTTAAAAATAAAAAACAAATTAACAATTTACTGAAATTTTCTGAGGACCCCCAAGATACCTCTCGTGGACCCCTGGAGGTCCTGGGACCCTAGTTTGAGAACCTATGATTTAGACAACCGACTCATGTAGAAATTATTTTGAATGTTTTACTCATATTGGCCATACATTCAAACTTAATGTTAGCATTTCAGTAGCTATAGGTCCAAAAGAGCCTCCCAGTAGATTTTTTTTAAATTCCATTTTCATCTTAGACATATTTATCTTGTTATAAGTTGCCATAGGCTGTCTAAAGCATTATAGTGTGAGGGGGCCTTTAGGTGAATGAACGAATGAAAAACATTTTAAAATTATTTWAATTCTATTCAAATAAAGATAAAAAATTGAATCTCTCAAACATTCAGGGTGCATTTCACATTGATCATATATAAAAATTTAAACCTATTCACCATATTCTTCCCTTTTGGTTCATTTACCTGAAAAAGACTGCCTTATTCTGATGGATTTTGAAGGTCTAACCTACAGGCTAGATTAAACGAATAAAGTCTGCTGATGCCTGTTGCTCCTCCTCAGTAATGCAGAAGTGTTGCAGCTGCTGCTGGCAGACAGACAGCTTAAAAGCAGTAAATTCAGAAAGGGCACTTAACCCAGAGTCTATAAATATCACATACTTCTTGGGAATGTGATGATTTTATTTCAGCTTAGATAAAACCCATTCAGATGAAAATTTTACAAATCTAAGTCAAGCTGCCGTGTCATTTTTCTAACCTCTTAACTGTGGCCTATAGATCTCTATTTTTTTTTTCATTTTCAGTTAACACTGCACAGACTTCCTTTAGGGTGAATTTACTATGACGGTTGCCTTCTTTGTAAAGTATTTTTCAATTGTGCTGATTAATCGATGCATTCCAGATTGTTGGAAATTACATTTAAACCCTTCCCAGGTTAATGAGCAACAGCTTTTGCTTTTCTGAAGTTATTGTCCTTTCTCCTTGGTATCATGGTACCACACATCTGTTTGATCCACAGCAGCAAAACACCAAAACTCCTGCTTTTATAAAAGTGATCACATCATTTTTTCTGACACATAAAACTCAAATCTAAAGAAGATATGTTTTTTTCCTGCAACTGTATTTTATTAACACAATTATACATCATGACTTGTGATGGTTCTGAGTTTATGTAATCCACTAAGTGTAATCTCTGTTTTCAGTTTAGTTTTATACACTATGCTCACCAGACCGTGCAATACTWAAAATAGTTCATTTTTGACAGAAGATTCTTTATGTGTTGAGTTCTTTTCAGGGGCGATGGATCAAACTGGCAAAGCTTTAAATCCTTTGATTAAACAGCACAAATAGAGTATCGTTCACTGCTCTGTTTTTCCTATGAGTGTTTTCCTCATTCCCAGAATTCAACTGATGCTAAACCATTTACCACTCAGCCCTCAATTCCTCATTCACAGCCGTGGATTCAGTTTTGCGTAACCTCTTTAACTGGCCCACTGCAAAACAGAAACAAACCAAAAAAATAAAAAGAGAGAGAGAGGTAATGAAATGTTATTGGCCATCGGTGCATAACATGGCAGATAAAGCTTCTTATGCAAGCTGATTTTAGATGAATTTACATAACATAGAAGCTCACAGAGGAAAAAAAAGCAGATGACGTGCACGCTATCAAAACTCAGTTTGTCTGGCTCAGACAGGTGATTAATAGTCCTCATTCATGTCCCGTTGTGAAAATGAAGACTGATCCTCTAGAATAAATGAATGGGTTGTTTATAAAAAATAAAAATAAAAATTAATAAAAACCAGTCCTTCAAATCTGACAGATCCTGTTGCAGATTACCACACAATAGGATGAAAGCTGTCGGGACCTTTGGCCCTTTAATCCGCCAAAGATCTGTTTTACAGCACAGTCTTTGAAAAGAAGGCGATCCTCATAAGCCTTTTTTTGTTTTATTGTGGGCACGGTCATATGTTTTGCAATGCAAACATATAAATACAATTGGGACGGGCAGTTTTTGGTGCTAATTCTACTCTAATGTGTAAAACCTGCAGTGGATGTAAAGATTTTACACACTCCTTTTAAATTCCAGGTTTTTGTGATGTAAAATAAATGAGACCAAGTAAAGAAAAATAAATGACACAGCAGTGACATTACCAAGAACTGGATGCCCCACAAAGCTGATAAAAAGACAGGAAGTAAACTGGTCAGGGAGACTGCCAAGAGKTCTAAAGGAGCTACATTAGTTTTTTGTGTGTCTCCTCTAATTTTTATATGTCTGAGCTCTGGGGTAGAGATAAGAAGAGTAACGTTTTGGAATGCCAGAATCCAGACCTGAAATCCATAGAAAATCTGTGGGATGATCTGAGGAGGGCTGTGCACTAAAGATACCCTCACAACCTARCAGATTTGGAGAGTTTTTGCAAAAAAAAAAAGGGGGCATATTGCAAAATCAAGACATACCATGCAGATAGACTGCTACCCAAAAAGATTGGGCTGAAAAAAAGTCCAAAGTGCTTCAACAAAGGATTAGTTTAAGGTTGTGCACACTTATGCAACCACCTTATTTTAGTTTATTCTATTTTTAATTTTCCCTCAAAAATRTTTCATTTTTTTAAACTGAGTTGCACAGGTCACATTTAAAGTGAAATTGATTATCTTGGGTTTTTTTTTTTTACATCACAAAAACCTAGAATTTAACAGAGGTTTGTAAAGAACCACTACTACTTTTAGTTCACTTTTCACTTATTTTAGCTAATAACTATCATTCTGGTGCATTATGTTAATTTTAGTTTCTTTTTGTCTACTTTCAACTTTTAACCAACATTTTAATTTTAGCTTCTGTCAGTTTCAACAACATTGCAATAAAAGTAAAATCAAACATTACCAAAGGCAGTACAAAAATGAAAAGCATTTTTTTCTTTAACTTTTGGTCAACTAAACCAGAGTTTTTCAGCTGGTCCTCAAGGCACACTGCCCTGATTCAGATGACTGTAGTTCAACAAAAGCCTGTTATGAAGTTATCAACTGAAATCAGGTGTGTTGAAGCAGGGAAACATCTGAAACTTGCAGGGCAGTACGCCTTGAGGACCAGGGTTGAAAAACGCTGAAATCATTTAAACCCATTTATGTAAATTATTGAACCAAAATAAATTCAACAAAACTAAATGAAAATATGTTTATGTATAAATAAACTCATCCTTTCATTATTAACTCTTGTTTTTATGAACAAAAATGTAACATATGGAAAATTTGTAAGAAATATGTTTTGTTAATATTGCACYGCTAATACAATGAAACAGCTTTAAATGAACTTAACAAACAATAGGGTCACTTCACAACCAATCACTTTTTTTATTTAAGGCAAAATTAGAATGAGTGAAAAAAATATATTAATCTGCAAAACGATGAGGTTAAAATGTATGTGCGTGCTTCAAAGAGTTGATTTTTGTTGCACCAAATCTGAGCGAATCAGAGCAAATTCATGTGTAAATGTGCATCTGTTTACACAATCTGTCAGCTTCAAGGTCGGGTAATATTTCACAGGGTGATGTCAGATGGAAAAAGCACGGCATCATCTCTTTAGCTTGTCTACAATCCTGCACACAACACCACCACCTCCTCCTCATCATCATCATCCTCCCTCCACCCTCACCCACCCATCAGCATAACAGCCCTGGATGCAGCCACACACYCCTGCACAGACGACATCCCAGCATCCCGGCCAGAACAGGGCCGCTGTGATCTGACGGGGCAAAGCTGTCTTGGCTGAGGAGGGACGGGTCTAACGCGAAGAAGAAGAGTAAAAAGGTGAAGAAGGAGGACTCATCAGGTCCGCAGGTGCCGACTGAAGGCTCTCAGGGTTCATGTGCGATGCGTTTAACTGACAAGCAGGAATCATCAGAAGAAGGTAAAACATTCCATCATTTACATGGCTACAACAGATTACATTTATTTTTAATTTCAACAAATGACTCTTAATTTATTTGTCTGCACGTCTCTCTGCGACTCCTGTTACAGAGATGAGTTTTGGAGCAGCCTGTATATTCTTACGAGGAGGAAAAAACATAGTGAGTATGATCAGCAGTATTAGTGATGGTATTACTATAACTATTAGCTATAAGTTTAAATGGTTTCTTTTTCTTCCTGCAGTCACGACAGCTGGCTGAAGATGAGATCGATGGTAAGTTTTAGTTGTCAGCAACATTGTGTTTCCCTTCTTTTGTGTTCGTGGTAGATTTCTAGTTAGAAAAGCTACACGGCTTAGCTCAGCTGTGGGAACATGTTTCAGWTGGGAAGTACTGTGTGTGAATTTGTTAGACCATAAACACCATTTGAAGGATCTGATCATATGAAATATATGCAGAGTGCTAGTGTTTTCTGTAATCTAAATGAGAGGGGAAAATGTGCTGTAGGTTTTGTTTTATGTACTCATGACTCTGTGCTGCTCTGACCACTGCAATCGGATGATTGGTGGACACATGGTCTGCCTGACTGACCTGGTAAACCCAAACAAATAGTGAGGATGAACTCAGAACATCTGTCAGAGCGCGTGACTGTGAGGTCTTCAACYAGCGCCTCTGGGGAAAGCAGAGTGGTTGTAGACATGAAATCCTGTTCAGAGCTTTTATTGCAGATGTAGTTTCCAGGAGCTGTGACCTGAAGGTCATTAGTGCCTGTTGCAACAACAACCRAAGAGGCTGTTTATCTAAAGAAGAAGGACTCCTGGAGCAGCTGGCAGGTGTAGGGTAGCTAAGGACTGCAGCTTCTGTGGTTGCAGATAAAAAACTTGGACACAGGACGAATTCAGAGAGGCTATGGAGARGGACTTTCAGTGGCCTCAAGAAAGATTTGGCAAACTTTCAGGCTGTGCTTGGTTCAGCTGTGGTACTGCTGACCCAGACTGGGGTTGTTGTCAGAAGGTCGGGACACTATATCTTCTTGATTTGTTRGTTTGTCTAAGTTGCATCACCTAGTCAGGTATGCCAGGTTCAGCTTCACAGAAATGGGTGAGGAACTTTGTCATCTGGGCGGGAGGGAGCTCRGATAAAAACCGCTAATCCTCCATATCAAAAAGAGTGAGCTGAGGTGGTTCAGGTGTCTGATTARGATGCATCCTGAATACCTTCATTTGAGGGATGTTCCAGCACCTTTATTTCTCAAGGCCTTGTTTCTCACACTGCTGTTGCGTTTTGTTCCACCTCTGCAGAGCTGCGTGATGCATTCAATGAGTTTGACAAAGACAAAGACGGGTTGATCAGCTGCAAGGACCTGGGGAACCTGATGAGGACGATGGGTTACATGCCCACAGAGATGGAGCTGATCGAGCTCGGCCAAAACATCAACATGAACCGTGAGTCCCGATCACACCACGTGCATAATATGATATTTCTTTTAAACACAGAAACATACTGTTTTTTTTATTAAAACCTCGGACTAACTAAGTCCTTTTTTCCCCTCCCGAAAGTTGGAGGCAGGGTGGACTTTGAGGACTTTGTAGAACTGATGGCGCCAAAGCTTCTGGCAGAGACGGCTGGGATGATCGGCGTGAAGGAGCTCAAAGATGCCTTTAAAGAGGTAAACTGGAAACTAAAATCTGTCAGTCCCTGTGGTGTCGTGGGGGATTTCTATGACCTCTCTGACCTTCATACGCAGTTTGACATGGATGGGGATGGAGAGATCACGACGGAGGAGCTGCGTTTAGCCATGAACAAGCTGATGGGGGAACACATGAATCGCAGAGAGATCGACGCCATAGTCAAAGAAGCAGATGACAACGGAGACGGCACTGTAGACTTTGAAGGTGCAAACTTTTATATATACAGTAWATATGTATATGTATATGTATGTATGCATATGTACCATGACAAATACATCAGATTAGACAATAACYTGGCACCAAACATGTACGTTGTGTAAATGTAACTAGGGTTTTTTCTTGTTCTTCCTTGCAGAGTTCGTCAGAATGATGTCCCGTAAATAATCACCGAGGAGAACGTCTGTTTGCACCTTTACAAAGCTTTAGCACTGATGTTGTCTTTTTCTGGTCTGATTAAAAGGCTGTATCATTCAGGACAAACATGAAAATACTGAAAGTACCTCAAGGATGATTCAAACTATGCAAAGATTGAGATTAAAGTGATGAGTTTTATAAATGAGAAAAAAAAAGAATTGACAAATATTTTGTTTCATATTATATTTACTGTATGTACAGTGACTCATTTCAGATTGGATTGCTCATCTTGATTTTTTTTCCTCTTTGAAAATAAACATGTTGCTCACAGAAGCCTATTGTGACCACAGTGTGATTTAATAGTGTCTGATTCTGACATTTTCACTCAAATACATTTGATATTTGCAACATATTTTGAAAAAGAACCAAAAAAAGGCAATTAAATTTAAAAATCAAACATTAAACTGTGTAGGCATAAGGTCAACAAGGGGCRGCTGTGGTGAAGTGGTAGAACAGCAGACTTGGGACCAGAAAGTCACAGGTTTGACTCCCCGCCATGCCCACATGTCATGGTGTCCTTGAGCAAGGCACCCAACCAACTCACATAGCTGCCCGCTGCTCCACCTGGGTGTTTCTCATGTGTGATGGGTCAAATGCAGAGCACAAATTTCATCCTTGCATGGGAACATGCATTGACAAAATAAATTTTTAGGCTCGAAAACATTATTTTTCATGTAAAAATTCAACTAAGACTTAAATAAAAATGTTTTAAAGCTTGTGGCAGGAAAGCAAGAGAACAGGTGGCAGCAGCTGCAAAAGAAAAACTCAGGTGTTTGTGAAGCTGTGGAAATTTACAGAAAAGGCTGAAACTGAGTTGATTATATTAAAACGCACAGAACAAGTAGCAAAACRCTAGCTGAATWTAAAACATTACCTTAAATGCTAAAAGTAGCAAAAGAYTAGATGTAAGTAGCATTAAAAACAAAATTAAAGCAGCTGGATCATAAAGAAAATAATGATTAAAAAATCTGAAAAGAATGTGTTTCCATGAAGAAAGTATTTTTAAATATAGTTGAATATTTTACAAAGTGTAGGAG